TCTCCTAAAGCAGGAATCTCCTACGCCATGAGGAATAATAAGAGAAGTGAATATTGACTGGAGATTTCGGCATTACGACAGGTAAATATGGTGACACAAACTGTACGTTCTAAGCCAACGCGTTCCAAAACTGGGGAGGGGATTTTCTCCAAAGGAGAGTATACTAGAGTCTCGTGGAAGGCACTTAGATGTATCCAGTGGTCTCTGAATGAAGAAAGACGGCCGTCCAGACAACGCCACAACAGGTCGGCACTGACTAAGTCATGCACCGCATGCATTAAAACAAAGTTATATGGCGTAGTAGCTAAACACGGGGGCCGTTTACCGCTCACATCAAGTGTTCACGCACAAGCGATGTTTCTGGAGTGATTAATTCTGTGACTTTATTTGTGCCGCCCGAATGCAATCGCTGTGGAAGACTCCTTTCGATCCATTAGCCCTTAATTTCGGTTCGGTTAATTAAATTCGGTTCACCATGTCCCCTTTTACACAGATATCGTCAGAGACCTACTTTCGTATGAAAGTTATATATATATATATATATATATATATATTATATACATATATACATATATATATAATTTTCTTGGGCATTGCAATACCTGAACTTAGATTTGTGACAAAATGGGGTGTTTTGTTATGGACAACCAGTATGGTTTTCGGCCGTGTATGGTACAGATCATAATAATACACGGGCATCATAATTGGTCTGGCACATTTGAAACACACCAAACCGAAAGTTGTTCTTGTAAACATTGCTTGGGTGTTCCTGTCGTCGCGTCTATCGTTGATGCCGAATATCGCTGTTAGCGGCCCGTACGTCAAGCAACTTTACAAGACAAAACTGCTAACATTTAGACGTACAAGTAATCGGTGGCAGGCGAAAAACACGACGGCATCAGTAACGCCTTGAAGTACCTTATTTGGCTTGATGCGCACAGCCTTGTCAAGTATTGTAAAGTAATATGTCAGTCACGCAACTGTGACGCAGACAGACCATAGCAGATCGCCGACGCCGTCGGCAACGCAGCACAACGCCAGTGCGAGACCCGAGACGCCATCGACACGTTTACCGAGAGAGTGTGCGGATAAGGGCCGCCACCACCTTTGCTGCCGTGGGCGCAGGAGTACGATCGGCTTGCATTTATTGTAATCCTGCGTAACTTCACAAACCGGTGAAAGAGAGACCTAGTGCGTGTGAAATTTGCAACCGTTGATTCGTGTTGGGTGTGAGCATATTGCCGAGTTTTAGCATGTACGCACCGGCTATAATCTTTTATCTTGCCGATATTTTTTTTAAATATCACGACTTACGGCACAGCAAAACGACGCAAGTTTGGATTTGTCGTGAAGTGAAACTGAATCAGAATCGGAATTTTTGTGGGGCTGAGTGAGAGAGCTCATGACCCGTCTATCCCACACGGAAAGGACATAAAAGGGTTGGGAAATACAGATGCAGGCGACAGACTTGCCTTCGATTCTAATTCTTTGAATTGGGCCTCAGGACCGGCTCACTGGAACCAGATTCAGCTCACGACTCAAAGCCGTTTCAAATGTCTTAGTTCGACTCGGATGAAAGTTTAAGTTATAAAAGTACAAGGCTTGGTGGAAAAATTAGAAAATGGTTGCAGTTATATCTAGCTATCAGATATATATTGTGCAGCTTTTTTCATGTGAAAGCTAGCTTTCGGGCTTAGTTATTCATTGTAGCCCATTATAAAGTATCTGTAGTCTCCGTATGTCAAAGACCTACCTGAAAACGTTTTTGGGGAGCATGGTCACATAGCCCATAAGTCTGTCAGGTGTTTTCGGTCTTCAAGATAATTTAGAGAGTAGCCTTTCGATTGTTTACATTGCAGGGCAAGTGTGCAGTTTCCAGCTCGTCGCTATAGCACTTACCGCTTAATGCCAACCATTCTCCTTCCAAGTACAACTGTTGCCCAAGCAGGGTTGTAATTTTTGATTCACCGAAAGTGGTGCCAGACCCAACTTTGAGGAAAGGCCCCTAAATTTATTTATTTATCTAATTTACTTTCCGACTTCATTTTGCGAAACTACGCCTCTATTACCAAGACCTGAGAACCAGGCTTCCAGTGGTGGTAGACTGTCCACGGGGGCAGAGGGCGAAAAAAGAGAGACGCTTCAGAGCTCAATATCAATCGGCTGTGGTTGCGACACGTAGTCTGCCCTGGACCATGCTGATTTTGTAGACTTGTGCAACGCACGGGTGGAGTCGGTGCATAACACGGTTCGACAGCGCCATGACAGGCCAAATCAGCCGATGTATCCGTCGAAAGCTGGGACCGTGGGTGTGTCGGCCTCCAGTGGGTGAGTTGAAGATCAGGACCTCACACTGGAAACGGAGCTCGTAACAGCGTAGCGATAGTGATTCGTTTGCGCGGTCCAACTCCGTTGAAATACCGTGCGGACCCATCTAGTGGAGAAGCCGTCTGTCCCTTAATGGTTACTGTCCCATGGTGTCAGCCGGAACAGCAAGGGACGACAGGCAGTAGCAATGCCACCGTTCCATCGCTGCTGTGCTGTCTCTGAGGCGGCAGTGCCGGCCGTGTGCAGCAATGGCCGCCAGCATCACAACTATAGCACCTAGCACAGTGTCTGGTCCTACCATTGACCGCGCTGGCGACAGCCAGCTTTAGACGAAAAACGAAGCGACAGGCTCCATATGTCAAATACAGCAAAGCTATGCACCTTCTGCCACAGGTTGCGACAGAAGTATTAAGCCACAGCCCGTAGTCCGTTAGCTGCATGACACCTGTCAAATATATTTCATAGGCATCAAAATATACAATGTATATTTTTTAATAACACGCAACATATTCCATACCACATCGGCCGCATCTTTAGGCTATGCATGTTTAATATATACATATTACATATGTGTTTATATGTATATAGCATATAAATATATATATATATATATATATATATATATATATATAAGTCGAAAGATCGCTCGTTCTCAACGTTTTAATATTTTTTCTATTTCAACTCTGCTGAAGAGTTGGCGGCAAAAGAATTCCGTCCTACTCCCGGCTATCACATCGTGTGCATAGGCCTATATTTGCCTTATAGCTAGGAAGTACCGCGGCGCACATTTTGGTCTCAGAAATCGAAAGAGAATTGTTCAAGCCTCATTTTTATGCATTTTTCATGCATATGTATGTTCAATATTTAAAAATCCGTGGGCCTGAAGAAGAGCATTTAGCATGTGGCTCTCAGGGATAGTCGTGAAATGTGTGCCGTTGCTGCCATATTTTATACCATACTTTGGGCCCTCCCCAGCCCTCCGACTCTGCATCAGTAGTTTACCTGCATCTAGAAGCGGTGGATTAATGTCACTCCCCTTCCCATCCGGCTGAACTGTCGTCGCCACCAAGCCTGCTGCTGGCTACCTTGCTGCCTCTGCGTGTTAGCGTATAGCTGCCATGGGATGTAAGCAAGTCAGGAGGCAGAAGGCACTTAACACCTGGCCGCCAGCTTTGCCGGCATTTAAAAGCACGCTTTTTACGCTTTCCACATTTCGCATCTACCTGCAGAGAGGGTCAGTCACGGCCTTCCGCACTGAACTCCTGCCAGGCCGTGGAGATAGCTCTGCTGGGTCTGACATTTTACGCTTTCCACACTTCGCATCTACCTGCAGGGAGGATCAGTCACGGCCTTCCGCATTGAACTCCCGCCAGGCCGTGGGGATAGCTCAGCTGGATCTGACATTTGTTCTGCAGACATGTGTGTGCATTTAAGTATTAATGATTACCGTTGTAAATGACTAACTTTTTGTGCGACTATCACAAAGTTGATGACGGAACGAAATTCCTCTGACGTTAATATCTGCAGTTAAGAAGATGCTACAACATATTGTCTATGTGCTGCTGGTGCTTTACGACGCATTCAGCGCCTAAGGCTGTATGACGTCGTCTACCTCTCATCCCGGCAAGAAAGGAGGGTATTATCGCATATTGATGTTCATCAGCCAAAACACTCTTCCAAAAGAGAAAGAAAATCATTGACAAGAAATCAGACCTACCAGAAACGAGGGCTGGCCTTTTAGCTTACATCCCTTTACATTCGCAAAACGTGTGCCATATGTTTGTGAGCGCGCGCGTAAATATGTTATGTCGGTCATTATCTGACAGAAATTATTTTTAGCACATTTTTTCGAGGTTTGTATTCTATGGGGCATTTCCTTCACGCACATACTTGCCCGCTATAAACCAACGCCAGAGTGAGCGATAACACACGTGTTCTTGCCCTCGTTCCAGGTCACCC